ACGAGGCTGCCGGAGCTGCTGCAGACTCGGGGAGGGGGTGGCGCTGACGGGCAGGGAGACCGGCCAATCAGGGGAGGCGGGGGGCCGGGAAGGCGGGGCCGAGGGGGGGTTGCTCGTTGGAGGGAGAGGCCTTTGTTATTGCGGCCCGGCCCCCACCCCCTCTAACCTTAGGCGTCCCCGCTCTTCCCACCCTGAACCTGGGGTCTGGGACACTCGTAAAACCCAGCTCCCTCCTCCTTCAAGTCCCTACTTCATCTTGGATGACTGCAGCCCAAGCCGACATCCTCACTGCAACCTCATGAGAAACCCTGAGCCAAACCATCCAGCTAAGCCACTCCTGAATTCCTGACTCACAGAAACTGCATAAGAAAATTAATGTTGGTAGTTCTATTTATTTTTTCTTTTTTCAAACGTTGGTAGTTTTAAACCATTCAGTTTGGATGTAATCTATTATAAAGTAATGGATAAGTAATACCAAAAACTAACTAACACAAATACTATTAACCTCCCCACTTCAGAGATGAACTATATTAGGCACTCTGGGTCTGAGAGTTCTGTTGTGGAATAGCTGTGATTGACCCCAGGCTGCTTGACTCTAGAGTCTGCAATGTAATCTAAATCCGATCCAAATCACAGAGGAATCTGTCCTGGCATACCTCTGATCCCCTCTGTATTCAGGCTTCAATGTATCCATCTGATAAAGGACGACTGGAGTAGACAGGGAATGAGGGGTCAAAAAAGGTGAGAATCACATATGGAGGACGAGATGGCTCTTGGAGCCCAACCAAACCTCCCTGAATGGGAACATTTTTCTGCTTCTAAAATGGAAGGGAAGGGCAGGCCCATAGCTCACTTGGGAGAGTGTAGTGCTGACAACACCAAATCAAGGCTTAAGATCCCCTTACCACTCATCTTTCAAAATAAATAAATAAATTAAATTAAATTAAGTTAAATGGAAGGCAATATTGCTAAGCACACAGAACCCACTAGAGAAACGACTTATGGACAAAAACAAAATCACCCTCACAGTCCTTTCAGCCATCCAATGTGAGGAAATGGTTCCTGCAGCTCAAACCCATTCACGGTCCGCACAGGGTCCCCCAACCCACTCCAAGTGGGGGGAAAAGCTCACTTAATGCCATCGAGCCAGGTGACAAACTCATAGGCGCTGCTGGTGGGAGCGTGGCATTGTACGTAGGACTCGGGAGCGCAGTCTACCGTGTTGAACACCACAAGGCTGTACTGGGTGCCCCCATACTGCGGGGGAGGAGAGGACAAAGGAACTTTTAATCTGGGACTACAGCTTCCTTTTACCTCAAAGAAGAAACTGGGATTCCCAGCTTCCTGTTCCTCCAGACTCACGATTCCTCGGCCCCCTCTTCCCTCCGACCTAGGAATCCAGGCCCCCAGCGCCCTCGCCTCTCAGACTCAGGAGTCTGGACTCCCAGCTCCCTCCTCCCTCGGACCCAGGAGTCTGGGCCCCCAGCCCCCCTCCTCCCTCGGACCCAGGAGTCCGGGCCCCCAGCCCCCTCCCTCAGAGCTAGGAGTCCGGCCCCCCAGCCTTCTTCCTGTGGGATGCAGTTCAGCTCCTTCGTCTACTTTCATGAATAAGTAAAATACTGACTGTTGGGGTGAAATTCTCTTCTCTCCTAAACCACAACCCTCATCTCCACGATAATAGAGGAATGGGGAAAAAAGGGGGAACCTGATCTTGAGGGTGGGATTGAGAGGAGAAGGTGATCCAGGGCTTAGGTGCAAAACATCCCAACTTTCCATTCTTTTGCTGACTTGGTTGTGTGACCTTGGACAAGTCACTTGTCTTTCCAAAACTTCAGTGTCTATCCCTTTAAGATGGAATAATCCCTATTTCCTAAGGTTATTGAGAAGAAGAGATCCTGAAGGACCAGCTAGCTTTACCCAGCATTCCAACCTGTAGTCAGTTCCTTCCCCTCCGTTTCACTTTGCATCCATGTACTAGAAATAGTCCACTCCCCAGGCCTACCAGGTAAGGCATCCCTGTCCCCTTGGCAAAGGCCCGAGGCAGGAAGAAAACAGTCTCTGAGTCTACTATATTTCTGGAGCAGTTCAAGGCAGAAGCTTCTGAACTCACCCAACACAGGGTGCTCTATCTCTAAAGTATATTTGTCATCAATTCCTCTCCCCTCCCCTCATATCCAATCTGACTGCAAGAGCCACTGGCTCTGCCTCTAAAAGAGATCCCCACTTTGCTTTTTCTTCTCATTCGACCCTGGTCTGAGCTGCCACCATCTCTCCCTCTATGACTCTGGCTGCAGCAGCCAGTGCTTTGGTCTCCTGGTCTCTACCTTTGTCTCCAACTTCAAATCAACAAGCACTTAACACGTGAAGCACCTGGGCCACTGGCTGCCTCAAGCACTCACTCAGCTTTAGCTGCCATTGCCCTCTTTCTGTTCCTCGAACAAGCCAAACTTGTTCTAGCCTCAGGGCCTTTGCACTTGCTAGTCCCTCTACTGGAATGGTCTTCCCACCAGATCGGCACATGAGTTTTTCTTATGATTTCGGTCTCACCTTTAAGAAGGCTTTGTTGATTGCACTATCCGAGGTAGCCCCTATTCCCAACACAGTAACTCTATGTCAAACCTCTCTGTTTTACAATTTCCTTATTTTATTTGTTCATTTGTTTATTTTCAGTTGCTCTCTCCCTACCCCTGCCCTACTTCCAGAATGTAAGCTTCACTAGGGCAGGTTTTTTGTTCAAAGCTATACCTCTAGAGTTCAACCTAATGATTGACACATAGTAGGTACTCAATATATATATATACTGCATGAATGAGCTGGATGGCTTACTAGCTACATTTAGACATATGGAGGGAACTAAGATGAAGAGAGGGGAAGAGACCCACCCAAGTTCACATAACCAGGTGGTGCAAGAGCTGGTGGTCAGCTTGCACTGGCTCAAAAGCGTTAATTGTTAAATTTTCAGGAATTTTGAAAGATGAATGTTAAGCCGTTATTAGTTTGATCTTGGTCATTGTGGGAGTATTTACACCGTGGCAAATAGCAAACACCACAAATCAGGACTTGTTATTTTCTGGAGAGCGGCTTTAGCAGCACATCACTACAAAATCCATTGTGATCCTGGCAAAGTGCTATTTATTGCTCTCCTTTGAATTCAGGACCATTCAGACTTAGGATGAGGACAGGAGCTCCCTTTTCCTGAAATGACCTGTTCCAGGCCTGATAACAACATGAGTGTCTACTATATGTAGACTTCTTTCTAAGCACTTTTAATGTATTATCTCTTTGGAGGGTCATGACATTCTTCCAAAGTGCATCTTGTCTTTATCCCAATTTCACAGATGAGGAAACAGAGACGGAGAATTCTTTTTTTAAGTGCTCAAAGCCATAGACGTGTGAGATACTGTGAAATATACATTAAATCTTTGTCCCTGTTTCCTGGCATACAAATCCTAATGTTCTTGGAATCTACAAACTAATGTCTTTTTGTGTGATAATGAGTTGACTGATGGCTGGCAGCATCTAGATAGCTTTTGGATGGGGGCTGGTCATTGGAAAAACCAAGGCAGGATTAGAAGGTTGGGACTTTCAGCCTCCCCAACCTCCAGGACAGGGAGAGGCGCTGAAGGTTAAGTTGATCACTGGTGGCCAGTGATTTAGTCACTGATGCCTATGTCACGAAGCTTCTGTAAAAACCCAAAAGGACTGGGCTTGGGGAGCTTGTGGATAGCTGAACACATGGAAATTCCTGGAGGGTGACAAGCCTGGAGAGGGTATAGAAGCTCCACACCCCTTCCTCCATAACTTGCCCTATGCATCTCTTCATCTGTATCCTTTGTAGTATCCTTTATAATAAATCAGTAAATGTGTTTCCCTGAGTTTTATGAGCCATTCTAACAAATCAATTGAACCCAAGGAGAGGTTCATGGGAACCCTGATTTATAGCCGGTCGATGAGAAGCCCAGGTAAAACAACTTGGGGCTTGTGATTGGCATCAGAAGTGGAGGGCAGTGTTGCAGGACTGAGCCCTCAACCTGTGGGATCTGAGACTATCTCCAGGCATATAGTTTCCGAACTGAATTGAATTAGAAGACATCCAGCTGATATCTGCTGCAAAATTTACGGATTGATTGCTGTAGGGAGAAATCTCCACTCACTTCTTGGTGACCAAAGGTCACAGAGGTCTTCTGTGTTGATTGTTGAGTGAGAGAATAAAAAAACTTAGTTCTTTTCCTCTATATCCTCAGAACATGGTAGAAGACATCTGTTATATTGCACCTGACAACAAACTTGTATCCATAATATGTAAAGAACTCCTACAAATCAAGTAAAATGATACTTCTCAATTTTTAAAATGGGCAAAAGAGTTGCACAAGCATTTTGAAAAAAAAAGTGATATCCAATAATCACAAAATGATACCCAACATCATTAGTCACCAGAGAAATAAAATCAAAACCACAAGGATATACTCCTACTCCCCTGCCAGAATGGCTAAAATTAAAAGAGTTGACAATAGCAAGTGTTCACAAGGATGTGGAGCACTTGGAACTCTCATACACCATTGGTGGGACCATAAATGGGCACTATTGCTTTGGGGAACTTTCTGTCAGTATCTACTAAAGCTGAACATCCTTTCACCCTATGACCCAGCAATTTCATCCCAGGTGTCTATCCATGAGAAATGAAACTACATGTTCACACAAAGACTTGCATATGAATGTTCATTGCAGCTTTATTCATGAAAGCCTCAAACTGGAAATAAAGCATATATCTGGGAGCAGATGAATGGATAAATTTATTATGGTATACTCATACCATGAAATATTATTTGGCAATAAAATGGAACAAGCTACCAATATGGGCTACAACATTGATGAATCTCACGGATATAATATGGAGTAGAAAATGACATACAAAAGAGTACATACTGTATGATTCCATTTATAGGAAGTTCAATACCTGGCTAAAATAATCTACAGTAGTAGGAGTCAGAATTGTAATTACTCTGAGTGGGGGGAGTAAAGGACGAAATACGTGGTCACCAGGAGGAAGCGTGCTACCGTGTACATGTTTACCTCCTGATCCGCATGCTAGTTGAATAGACGGAGATATAGTCAATCTGTAATATTCCCAGATTCTGTATTTACAAATTCGCCTACTCACTAAAATTTATTTCTAGCCCTCTTTTAGCCCATGAGTACTAAAATTTACTTCAGTACTCATGGCTTTAGTAGTTATTTGTGGACATGCACAGAGTGGCTAAAATTTTGAGTTCTGGACACACATGTTCCTAGCAAAGGTACAAGGCAACACTCTGCCTCTTGTCTCATCTCTCAAGCAGAGATGCCCAGAGGATGGAGACCGTGGGGGATGATGCAGTGCCAAAAGGTCTCTGGGGCCAGCTGGAAGAGTTGGAAGTGGCGCAGCTTCGGGTAAATTACTTCACACTTCTAAATGGCATTTATAAAATGGAGAGAATAGAATCTACTAGGATGAGTCCTTTTTTAGGATTCAAGATTGTAATCTATGTGAAGTATCTGTGCATATGTGTGCATTACCTCTAGCAGCAATGATTCAGTATTCACTAATTCAGTGCTCGTGCAACATTATACAACAGATTCCCACTATTAGCGGTAAGGTTCTCTGTATATGTTCTCTCTCTATGTTTGACACATATATGAGGGTATTTCAAAAAGCTCATGGAAAAATAGAATTAAAAGATAATACAAATCTTTCCATTAACTCTCTGAAGTACCCTCATATATACATGTATAAGTTCTCTACAGATAACATGTATATATGTTGTATATAAATGTATATATATTTGTATATGGTTTTGTTTATACTTATATATATTTCCATTAAGCTATAACACTTAACATCTGTGTCCTTTACTGAGTGTGTTTTAGACCTCAATACAAAGAAAACAGGGCCGGCCCAGTGGCGCACTGCTACAGTGCACCGCTTGGGAAGTGCGGCGGCGCTCCCGCCGAGGGTTCGGATCCCACATACAGACCGGTTCCCGCTCACTGGCTGAGCGAGGGGCGGGAGCAACACCGAGGGTTGCGATCCCGTTGCCGGTCCTGGTCTGGGGCGGGGGCGACACTGAGGGTTGCGATCCGTTGCCGGACACGGGAAAAGGAAAAGAAAAAATAAAAGCTCAATACAAAGAAAACAGACAAGTTGTCCCAGTTGACCACCTCCCATCCAAAAAGCCCTCTCACCTCTCCAGAGTCCTGTGCTCTTAACCACTATGCTATGCTATCTCTCGATATTGCTGCCCTTTACTGAATGTTTACTATGCTCTAAGCCATTTACCTGTATAGAAAACCCATGGAACTCTCGTGCAACCCATGCCGAGAGTCCTACGTGGCCCAGACTCCTACTTCTGG